AAAAAAAAAAAGAGGAAAGTCAGATGATATGTAAAAGAAAAAATCTATTTTGTTTTTGATCCATCACTTTTAGACCTATTTCTTTTCTCTTCTTCCTGGCTCCATGGTTTCTTTGAGTAACTCTGAAGCTTCATCACCGGTGGAATTTGGAAGATATGATTACGATTATGAAGGGCAGAGTCAAATTTGCTTTAGTGGTTTGAAGGTGCTAAGGATCATGTCCTGGAGTGAGAAGAATCGTGGTCGGAGGTTTTTTGGATGCCCACTATATGATCCTATTGTAATTTCTTCCCCTAAAATTCTATTTTTAACTCGTGGGTTGTGTGTTGTGTAGGCTTTTCTTTGCTAAGCAATTTGAAGGTTTTTTGTTTTCCTTATTTTGAAGGTTTTAGGGTTTTTTTTGATATGGAGTGATGGGTTTGATTCCATGTTAATGGGATTTGATTTTCATACTTGCAAACAAGAAAACGACAGTGTAAGTATTTTGTATGGTAGGATCGTGATTTCTCTTTCAGGGCTAATGAGGTTATCTTATGGCTGTACAATAGTAAGAGAGAATTGGAAAATGATTTGGATGATGCAAGAGAAAGGATTAGAGCTCTTAGGGATGTTGTGAAGCATCATGAAGAAAATGGAGAGAAACATATTGAGGCATTAGAGAAGAAGGCAGATGACTTGCAAATTATGGTGACATTAACAATGGTGTATGCTGTGAAGCTGGAGAAATGGAAGAAGTGTAGGAAATTTTGTTTGGTTTTGATTGTTTTTCTTGCTTTTGTCTTGTCCTTTGTCCTGTTTAGTACTTGGGTTAAGGGTGTTGATAGGAGGGATTTGAAAAAGTATTAAAGCTTGAGAAGCTATGAAATTGGGGAGACTTGTGTTCTATGAGCAATATGTGGGCAATATCTGTGGGCAATAATTGTTTTTTGTTAGGTAATGTGTTGGTATGCCTTTCAACATTGTTAACCTTTGCCCCTGGGCCTGATTGAATTCTCTCTTGTATTGTATTTTGTAATATATAGAATGAATAGTAAATGACAATTCCTGAATCCTGTAATTGTTGTTTATATTATCTCATGTTCTGAAGAATCATCAACCTAAAATAGGTACAATATATACAAAAAAAGTAAACTATATAAGAGGCACAGAAATAAGGAAAAATTTTTTTTATCATAAACTGTTAATGTAGGGCCAAACAGTAAAGCTGCATTTACACCAACACTGCATTTACACAAAATTAATCAAAAGAAAGAACTTGACTAGTTACACCAAAGCTACATAAGATTCCAACAATCGAATGTCCCCAACCCTTAAGAAAACACCTACCAAATATAGATCCCAACAAAACAGAATGAATACTTGCAAGTTGTCACTTAGTTTCTAATAACTTTAACATAATATATACAAAAAAAACCTACTACAAGTTGTCACCCAAGTACTTTACTCCCATGCAAGAACAAAAACCTTCCAAAATGATCAGTCTTCACTTGATTTTTGCTTCTTTGATTTCCGAGGAGGATGTGTCTCCTGAAATTGACTGGGGTGTGTGTGTCTCCTAGCAGTCTCTCCTTGCACACCTTGCTACAAAAATTAAATTTTATTAGTGTAAAATACATGAGTAAAACAATTACCATTACAACTCAATGTTAAAGCAAAAACTCACAAGGTTCAACTCTGGTGGATTGATATATTCACCAAACCTATGTCTTCTCTTCCTTCCCATTCCATCAGATTGGCAAGACTGCTTAATCATCAATAAACATAAATAATTAACAATTTGACACTATCAAACTCATAGAAAGATGACAATTACAAATTATACTTACATTATCATCAACTACAAATCTAGCAATGCATATAGTCCTTGTCTGACTAGGCTGTTTACAAATCCACATGTTGGAGGTTTTCTTGTTATTGGTGTTGAAGTTCGCTGGGTTGCTACATGTTGAGGATTAAGAAAACATTGCCATTATTTTCTAATTATTATTAATAATAAATTGTTCATAAGTAGTTAACTTACCTCATTTTCAGTTGGCCTTTTTGGACAGCCTCTCTTATTGTGGCTAGGTTGCCTACATAATGAGCATGTTACTTGCACTCCTACATTTATCATCTTTTGTAGGTGTCTTAGCTTCACCTTTTTTGTTTCATCAGTGCCCTTCATTCTATTCACCTTGGCCTTCCTTGCTTGGATTTAAATGGAAGTGGTTCCATCGGTTCACCATGAAATTTTTCCCAAAAATGCTTACCATTACAAGGCATGATTGGTACATTGTATGCACACTCGTACTTCACCCTTTTGTACCAAACCAAAACAAATTCATCTGGATTGAAGTTTCCTAAACTTATTGCAAACAATGCATGAGAACATGGAATACTTGTTAAATCCTATGCTCTACAACAACACTTGTTTCCAAGCAAGTCTAACAAATTATCATTCCAATGCCAAACATCATAATGAGTCCTCCCATTCCATTCACATCTGCATTTGGCTGCTTCCATCTTGTTTGCTTTTAATTTCTTCCTAATTCTTAGTGCTATATCTCTTCTCCATTTGCTGATTTCATCCTTATTTTTTACCATCCTAACCATAACCTTAACTCTTATACATTCTAACAATTGGATGATTGGAAAAAATCTAGCATCCATTATCCAATTGATGAATATCTTACTCATGTTATTGTCCACCACATCATACTTACATAATGTGTCAAAAAAGGCCTTACACCATAGCTCGGGTGGGATTAATTTTAAGGCCTCATGACTTGCCCTGCCTCGGTTAATTTTCTGATCTCTTCCATATTTTGGTTGAATTCACCCTCAACAGTTGACCTTGCAGCAACCTAAAACCTTTTCCTCAATAGTTTCCCTTTGAAACTTTTTTGCCAATTAACATATATATGCCTAGCACACAGCCTATGCCTAGCCATTGGGAAAATTGTTTGTCTTGCATTAATCAACCGCTACCAAATCATGATTAATTTAAACAAAAAAAAAAAAAGATAGTTAGTGAGTCATGATCAATTAAAGAAGAATATTACATAAAGGACATGGCATTTCTGATTAAAGTAACATCAATATAAACTGTTGCAAAGTTAATGAACAGAAAATGTTACACTTACAAGATGCTGATATGAAATAAATGTTAAGTCTATCCCAGTGTGATTCGATAGATCATCTGCTAGGCACTTGAAGAAGAATGTCCTTGAACTGGTACACTCAGAATCAACAATAGCCCATGTCATTGGGAACATTTGATTGTTCCTATCCTTTGCAACAGCTACCAAAAGGGTTCCTTTACACATCCCCTTAAGAAAACAAGTGTATACTCCCATCATTGGTCTACAACCCAGTAGAAAACCCTTTCTACATCCTTCTAAGCAAACATAAATTCCCTTAAACTGTGGCTTCCCTTCTGGTGTTGTGGCTGGCTCAGTATCAATTTGCACATTCGACTCAGGTGACAACATCAGTAGTTCTTCGACATACCCTTTCAACCGTGCAAACTCTTTTATGGAAGTTTCCTTCATCTCCTTCAAAATCTTAGCCTTTTCCAATCTACACTAATCCCTTGACATAGTAACCCCCAATCTAAATGTGTAAGTCTAACCAACTCACTGAGTTGGATGTGCGGATTTGCAACAATTCTATTCCTATGGTGTTCTGCAAGAACCTTTAACCCAACACCCACGAGCAGATGGATGAGTTGGCAGGGGACTCTTTCAGCATAACCAGAGGTCTTGGTTTTAAGCCTTAGGAATGCAGCTTCGTTGAAACTCATAAGGGAGAGCTTTGTCGCTCGTTGGGTCCTGCTCGGCTCGAATCTGGATTAGTCGGTGGCCTAGTAAGCTTCCGAATACCGAGTGGTCCATACCAAAAAAAAAAAAAAAAAGAAAAAAAAAAGAACCTTTAACCCAACCAGGTCAAATTTGAAACTCTTAAAGCATGTGTGTTTTGTGTAATATGTCTTCACCTTGAAGCACTTGTCATTTTTATCATAACTGGCTAACATTTTGCAATTGCATTGTGGATCATCACACTTAATTCTATGCCTCCCAAGGTCACTTTTCACCATTTTCAACTTGCAACCCTTCTGTATTTGGTACTTAGCTAGAGCCTCCTTAAACTGTGATGCATGCTCAAACTTCATCTCTACCTCAAACCCAACATCAGGCCATGAAGGGTTAAACCATACATCAGCACTTCTTCTGGTTCTTGCATCTGCACGTACAGTGAATTCATACTCCTCTTCATCTTCATCTTCCTCATCACTACAAATCTAACATCCATCATTACTTGGAGATGTAGAATCTAAACTATCATCTCTGTCACTAGCATTTTCAACAAGAACCCTTTCATCCTTTTCATTATCTCTGTTTTGGTGCTCATGGACTATGTTGCTTGGTCCAACGCCATCACCATCTATAGTCCTTATTGTACTGGTTCTACTTTTCTTTTGATTTCCAACAATCTCCCTTACCTATGGCTTCAACCACCTCCTCATCATCTACATCACTGAGTAAAGCATCAAGGAATTCATCCTCATCATTCTGCTCATCATCATGAACCTCAACCTCATCATCATGAACCTCCTCATCATCAATCTCATCCTCATCATCATGAACCTCCTCCTCTTCATCATGAACCTCCTCATCTTCATCATTAATTTCTCCCTCACTATGTACAGCATCAAAGAATTCATCATCTGTTTCATGAGCTACATTCTGTGCCTTTGGGGTCAGTTGTGAAATTTGTGTGACATAGCCATCCCTAATGTCCCCATCTACATCAATCTCATTGCCTCCTTATGGACCTTCCACCTCTGTACCTTCATATACTACGTCTTTATTCACAACACTTGGTCCTATATCATTAATTTCATCAACTGCATCACATGGAATACTGCCACATTCAAGCATATATAAAATGTCTGGTTCATCACATACATGCTCCACATACACATCAATAATTGACCTTTCATTCAATAGATAACGCATGAGATTAAGTTCCTCCTAGCCAGCTATAACTTTTAATGCATCACCAAACTTTGCAACATAAGGATTTTTGTAATACAAATATTTTAAATGCATATATCCAGTACTTTTTATCCTTTCTTCTATATATAACAAAATTACTCGATGATATTTAATATCCTCATCATGTACTTCACCTTCCAACATACCTAAGATCATCATTACTATTCATGCAACGAGTGCCACCATGGTAAATTCTCAATGTCCCCATTACTGTCATAATATAAAAATATACTATAAATTAATACATATTTAAGTATAAAATCTATCAATTAAGTTATTAATTATAAATTTAACAACAGAATGAATATCTAATTCAAATTAATTGCACAATCCCTAATCTTAAAAACTCTTAACTCTTGCCTAGTCATGGGATGAAATTGGATTCTAAACTAATATGAAAAGCAAAATTGGAAACAAAACTTATAGCTTTCTTTGATTATTTATTAACTCACTGAAACCTTAAAACATCTTTTACTCAAAAATTATAATCACAAACAGTGCTTTACAATATTTAAAGTATTTTAATCCTAATTAAATCCTCAAGCTTAATTAAATAGTTAATCCAACTCAAATCTATCACACCCATTTACAATACCACCGCAAAAATAAACAAGAATGTCTTAGAATGAATAAATAAACATACTTGACAATCAGACCAAGAACACTATTTGAGTCGTTCGTCTGTCGTGGTCCCATACGTTTCAATAACCTTCACCTAGATTCTTTTGGTTGGTGTGGGGATTAAAGTTCTTGCTTTGGTGGGGTTCTTCAAGAAGATCTTCTGTCTCGATCAGAATGATAGGAGTTAGACGGTTTGTTTGTATCTCATTTGACTTTTCTCTTTTTTTTTTTTTCAACTTGTAAATCAGTCAGAGTGGGGCCCACAATTCAATTGTTTGGCGGTGTCTTTCTCGCTAATGAGTAGTCCAAGTTGAACTGCCAATGTGTAAAAAAGGCCCATGTGTCGTTAATCTGTCCATGTTGGACAGAAATTAACGGTGCATTTGGCCCTCGACGTTAAATATTCCTCATTATCATAAACTCAAATATGATGATGGTATAAAATCACATATTGTAATGTGAGAGGTAACGTCCCACATACTTGAAAAGTTGGAGGGCATTTTGTGGGGTTTTGCCATAAGGATTTAAGGTGCGTTTCGAACTGTAGTTAGAGGTTTTTTTGGTGTAGCAGTACAACGTTCAATATACGTGAGTTTAATAATTTTTTTAAATTGTTTTTTTTTTGTTTAAATTGTAAAAAGTTACAGTAAATTTATAATAATTTTATATATAAAATCAAAAGTCTCATTTTAGAATTTTTTGAATGTGACTTTTACGAAAAATACATAATATTTAATATAATTATAAAATTACCCATTAAAATCTAATTTTGCATAATTTAATTACAATAATTTATAATATTTCAATAATGATAACAAATTAAAAAAACCTAAATTATTAGAAAAAGTAAATATTATTCATTTTAATAATTATATATTTTACAATACTTTTAAAACTTTAATTAATAAAATTTATTATATTTCATCCATAATATTTTTAAAAAATAAATAACCAAATATTAAAATAATTTTTTATCACAATTACAGCATAGCACAACATATTTTGATACAATTACAGATACAATTACAGTTACAATATAACAAAGTATAATTCAGTACAATCACAGCACTTCACGTCAATCGTAAACGCACCTTTTGTCATTTAATAATAACCAAAGTTGTTTAATTTAAATTGTGCAATGTTTTATTATTTTTTACGTTTTTTTCTTGTTGAAATAGTTTCTCCAAAATAAAATCCCCGTATATATATATTTTTTTAAAATTTACGCAAATCATTCATTTATCATCAGAAACAAGATACACAGTCTAACAGCACAAAAAAAAGGGCCATGGACGACTATTACATATTTTAACAACAAATTCTAGGATATATAATTATAAAATTAGTCTTCAATTTTTGTTTCCCTTTTCTTTCTACAGACAAAATAAAAATTTCATTTTCTCCAAGTATAAACTTATTCCTAAAATCTTATTTATTTCAAAAAATTCCCTTTTTTTTTTTTTTTTGGGAGACAAGAAATTGAGAAATTGATGATGAAGCTTCACTAAAAAAGAAAACAGAGAGAGCTATAAAATAATGGGAAAACTACTGTCTGTTATTGCAAGAAGAAATTCAGAGGGAAAATAAATCAAGAAGAAATTTATATTAAGGACCATCATAGCTTCAGATTGACATCATCTCACCTGTAAAAAGTTTGGATGATTGCTTCACAAAGTAAAATGGATTAATTTATATGAAAATGATATCAATTTGAGATTATTCATGACAATCTTCATGTTACAAATATCAGAACAGTAAAACTTCTAATTTCTAAAATTTCAGTCATCAGTGCTTGGTTAGAACCGGTTCTCTTCCATCCCATTGCATCAAACCATTCCTGATGATCCTATGGAAAAATGGAACTGAAAAACAATGGAATCATTCCTAGTCCTAGAAAGTAAGAGATTTTCTTACAAGAGGAAAAATCATATTGGAGAAGAAAGAAGTTAGATCTTATCATTATAAGGTGTCATCACTCCTTGTGCATTCTTGTGTCAGGGGAGTTATATTGCAAGGGTGAAAGGGGTTGCCTCACTGACGCCACATTGCTGAAATCAATCTTTTTCTCTATTGGGCTGCTCATCTTGGGACTAGATTTTCGCTTGTTTGTCTATAAGAAAGTCAAGCAAATAATAGCATTAGATTAGTGACCTCTTGAATGAAAGCATATAGGTCTGGAAAAGACACAAGTACATACAAACGAAAAGATGGCACTTTTTCCTTACTTTCACAGATGCGCCACCAGTACTCTTTCCTCCAGAGCCATGAATGTTTTTGTCTCTCTGGTGTTGCCTCAATAACCTTTTGTTTTCCTCATTCAATATGTTGTTTTCTTCAAACAGCACTTTCACCTACATAAATATATTTGTTAAGTTATGACAAGGGCACCACAAATTTAACAAGCATTAAGTGTCTAGAATTCCTCTCACCTCCTCCTCAGCTCTATCAAGGTTCACCCTAAGATGTTCCTTGTCACTCTCAAGATTTTCCTTGTCTTTCTCAAGTGTCTTTACTTTAGCAACCAGTGATAAAACTTTTCTAGTTGATGGCCTAAAGCTGCAGAGTATAGCACTTTGCTCCATTACCAGCAAGCAAAAGCAAAGGTAACATCAACAAAAGGGGAAAAAAAAATGCTGACCTATTCCACATATTCAGCAACCTTTGACATGATTCATGAGAATCACTTTCCTCCCAAAATTCATATCCAGACAAAACTTCATCCCCAGTAATCAATGTTGATAGAATGGACTCTAGTAAATTCTCTTCCATGGGTGTGCCAACAGATGATAAACCATCCTTTCAGGTTAAACAAAAGTGTATACTTGTCAGCCATTAGACATAAAATGATTGGTAAGACTACATCAGATGCCAGGGTTTCTTAATGAGCAGCAAATCACAACAACTAACTGAATTTGACTCACTGTCAAATTATATTAAGGTAATGCAGAATAAAAGCAAAAACTGAGGGCAAATCATATTGAAAAGACATGCTACACCAATACTCCAATTGAACCTTAAAAAAAACATCCTATATTATCAAATTCCTGATTTTTTTTTTCCAAAATTATTTCTTAACAGTAACAAATCAGTAAAATTCGAACTGAACTTAAATTAAATTAAAACCCAAAAGAGATAGAGTAAATTTACCTCAGTGTTCTCATGCTTGTGCTTGTAGAACCTTAGTTCATCCGTTAACCTCTTCAATTCCTCCTCCATCTCCTGAACTTTAATCTCAGCTTCCTTTGCCCTCTCATCAGCCTCGTTCCCAAAATCCATTAATGCCTCACGATCATGATCATATAGCGAACACTCCCTTTCCCACTTATTACACTGATTCAACAAATTCGCACACTCTGCTGCCAATTTCTGATTCTCCTCGACAAACCTCTTTATCGCCTGCGCATTCATAGTGGATTCCGCCTAAAACGAAACACCCAAACCAACAGAACATGTCAATTCGTACTCGTAAACAAAACACACACGCAGGAACGAACATGCATACACTAGCGTACCCTAGCCCGTTCGATAATTTCATGCTTCTCTTTCAATTTGGAGAGGAGAAGTAAGCACTGGTCACGGAGGCGCCGTTGGGCTTCTTCGGCGGCGCGGAGCTTTAACTTCAAATTGCTTACCGAGATCGGGAGACCTAAAGAGTCCTCGATCGTTTCCTTTATGTAATCGTCGACTTCTCGAGAAAGACCCATGCTTTTCTCCTTGGTTTCGTCTTGATTAGATCCTCGACGAACCAAAATCTTGATCTGGTAATTCTCGAAACCCTAGATGGAAAGTTGCTTTAGGAGTCAAAATTTTTCAAAGAAAAGAGAAAGAAAATACAAGAAATGTGAAAATTTGAGATATTAGTTTTGAAAATAAGGGATTTCTGTGGGAAGACGGAAAGGTTTTATTTTTTTCTGATCTGAGAAAGTGAAGGAAAAAATTTTCTCGCTGCTTTCTCTCTCTTTTACCTTGTTTGGTAAGCGTTTCGAATTGAAAGAAAGTAGCCGTTATACAGCGCGTTTTCAAAAAAGCCAGGGCCCTGAGGAATTAATCTGGGCCCCATCTTTTTGCTGACGTGGCTTTCTTTTTTGTTTTTTTGAAGGCGGTTTGGGTTTTAATTCCATTTTCGCGTTCTGGCAGGCTGAGTGGCTGGCATAAGGAAACTACTGTTTTGGGATTGTTAGCCCAAGTAAAGCCCAGTCCAGTCCGGAAGCTGACATTTGAATAATCAGTGGTTGGTTCGTTAATTAATAAAAATTGATATAATTACAATCTTATATGATATTATAAATTTATAATATAATATATTATTATATAATTAATTTTTTATTTAAAAATTTATCTATAATATTATATTTATTTATTCATTTAATATTATATAAAGATATTGTAGTTATAGTATTACAAGTAACTAATTAAGAGAAACAAAAATAAGATAATTATAATATCACATCATATTATAAATTTACAGTTATAAAGTATCTTGATATGATTACCTCCTTTTATTCATAGATCTATTTATAATATTATATATTTATTTAATAATATGTTATAACTTTTTTTTTTTGAACATTTTGTCATGGGGCTGGGTCGAACCGTTGCCTTGAGAGAGGGTGGTATGAACCTTATAAAAATGACCAAAGTCACTTGGCCAGGTTTAATAATATGTTATAACTTTAAATTTATGCTTTTACCTAGCATGACATTGTAATTATATCATAACCAAAGTATTTTGGGTATGTTTGTTAGCACATTGGTATCCCCCTGAATGATTTTGATTGTGGACCCTTACAATGGCAATGGCGGATTAAAAATAAAAAATAAAAAATAAAAAAACAAAGATAATAACATGTAGTATTTGATCAAATTAAGGCGTTTGTTCTAATATTGGTTAAAATAAGTTTTTTCCTTTTGTCTTCTCTTTTTCTTAAATTAACTCTAAGATTGATCGTTTTATCTTATCTTATAATTGTAGTTAAAGGTTTTTAGGTTTTTTAATTTTTTTAAAAACTAAAAATCACATATTAATTTTCACTCTCAAAATAAATAAGAGTTTTAACATTAAATAAAGTCATTTTATTTAATTAAAACTCAATTCTTAAAAATTTATTTTATTAAATATTAATATTTAGATTTAAAAACTGATTATATTAGATTATATAATTGATTTTTAAATCTAATTGTCGATATTTAATATAATTGATTTTTAAATATAATTGTCGATATTTAATACGATAAATTTTTAAATTTTAAATCAAGATTTTGATTTCAAAATATAAATTAAGACGTCAATTTTTTTTTGAAAATTGAGATTAATAAGTACTAATCTCATTTTTAAAATGTATAAAATATATTTAATATTTATTTTAATTAATATTTTATATATTTTTAAAATAATAAAAAAACATAAAAACTAAAAATTAAAGAATAAAAAAAAGATTCTCAAATGAAACTAAATAAGCCATAATTTTTTTTTATAGAAAACCACTTTTAGGAAATTTCCTAATAAATAATAATAATCCTCCTTTTTAGTAAAATATAATCATTGCTCATTCAAAGATTTCAACACAAGACTTTCTTTACAACACGTTAACAATACGACGGTCAACTTAGGGGATGTAGACGATTTTTATTAGTTGGCGTAAATGTTAGAACTATTAAAGATGGGGAAAAAACAAAGGAAAAGTTAAAGAGCTGTTATTTATGTGGACCAACCCTAATATTTATCAATAATTATTTAACTTTCTTCCTACAAATAAAATAGTTTAAAAACTTGCTTAGATCCTATCTAATTCCATAAAAACTTCATTTGAATGTATTATACTGTACTACACTATGGTGTTATTGTAGGTTTTTTTTTTTTTAATTTTGACTTTTTCTATCAAAAAATATATAGATAAGTAATAAAATAAATAAAAATTTAATTATAATTAATAATTTATAATAAATTTATATGTTTAAATAATTTACTGTAACAAAAATTTATATTACCTCAAACAAAGTCTAAGTTATTATTATATTTACAATGATTTATTTCCTCTCATTATGATTAGCATGATAGCATGAGTGCATAATTGAGGTTTTGGTTACACATAAAAAAATTATGTCTCATATTTGTCTAACCTCTATAATATTTCCAGCGATAGATGTGAACTCAACGACTCGAGTAGTCAATTCACCATGTGATCCCACACATTATTCATTCATGACATCTGGATACTTCAAGTGTGGTGTGGACCATATTAAAAATAGTTAATAATCTATGCTATGGGCTCTTTGCTTTGTTCATTATAGGAGCAAGAGCAAACCAAATCTAAATCAAATTACTAGCTAAAAAAGAAGGTTAAAATTTCAATTTAGTCCTTTTACTTTGACAACAAATCCTTTTTTAGTCCGTTTACTTTAAAAAATTCTTTTTAGTCTTTAAAGTTTGAAATTCTATTATTTTTTAATCCATCCATTAAGTCTTTACGTTAAATGATAAAAATTTCAAAAGAAAATTATCAAAAAAGATATATTTTTTCAAAGTAAAGGATTAAATTAAGGCTATTTTAGCCCCCTTTTTAGCTTCTTTTTTATTTATTTATTTTAAAATTTTCATCGTTTAACGTGTCATGTATGTAAAATTTAATGAAGAAATTAAAAATGAATCAGATTTCAAATTTTAAAAACTAAAAAAAGGTTTTTTTTTATGTAAAAGGATTAAAAAAGAATTTTTTGCTAAAATAGAAGGACCAAAATGGAGATTTGACCTAAAAAGAACAATTAGAACATAGATTAATTATATTTAGTAGATAACCGGTCCATTTCATGATTAATCATGCATATTATACCCCTACCCGACCTACTTCGAGGCACCAGGGAAAAAGCTCACCATGAATATGATTAACCACCCAGAAATTAAAGGAACAAGTTAGAAAATTATTATGATTTTCTTCACCGACTTTATGTAATAAAAAATTCCATAAAGAAGATAAAAATTATAAGAGATTTCTGATCAGTGTCTTTAAGAGTTTTGAGTTTTGAAAAAATAAAAAATAATATTTAATTTATTAACTATTTAATTAAATTTATTTACATGATATTAACTCTAAAATTAATGTTTACTTTTATATTTTTCTTATATAAATTTATTGCATAAAAATGTTTTTAACTTGTACCTTAAGGGTATAGATTAAAAAAATTCATTTTATAATTATAATGTTATGAAAAATTA